TGTAGAGATGGAACCATATCAGTGTTTCCCATTAATTATCTAGAGCGTGGCGGCCTGTCATATTCTAATTTGTCCCCCCACAGTTTCATAACTAAGCCAAATCAGTTTTACACACTTCTCATAATAACACAAGAGATCTCTAACTTTGGTGGGCTATGTGCTACTTGCAGCGCTATTTGCCCCGTGCATGTGTACACTATTGCGCTACTAGAGACACGTGCTGTGGTCCGTAATGCTTTTACCATCCACGCAGACTGTCAGATCTCATTGTTTTGCTGCAGTTGTGGCATGCAATGCAGTTCTTTGTACCCGTCATTCGGAATCTGTGTGAGTGACCTTTGTTCATGTGAATTTGGACACAGCTACAAGTCCAAGAATAACATGAAGCATTGGTAAAACAGTTTGTAGCCACATTTGCTTTTCTAGAGACTTACTAGTAAATGTACCATTACTCTATTCAGCCAGGCTCTGTCTCTGTGGGGTTTGCAGGTTCTCCCTCTCTCTGCGTGGGTTTTCTCTGGGTACTCCGACTTCCTTGCAGAATCCAAAGACGTGCAAATCAGGGTCAGGTTAATTGGAGACTATATTGGTAGTAGGTGTAACTGTAAGTGGCTGTTTGTCTCCAATGTTGCCCTGGCGTCATCTCCAGGGTGTATCCTGCCTCTCACCCAATGTCAGCAGGGATTAGCTGCGGCTTCCCCAGAGACCCTCAAAGGATAAGCAGTAGATAATGGATAGATTATAACCTTCATCTACAATGAGTGATTCGTTGGAGACTATTTTTTTTCACTTCCCCTTTCTGAGCTTGGAAACATAATTAAAGCTTTTAGATGTAGTACACAGCACATTATGATCCCCATTAAATGAGCTGATCTAAGCTTGCTCAGTGGCCCTCCACTAGACTTAGGCCAGCAGCAGTATCCAGAAGGAGGGCGGCCGTACCATGTCAAGTGCGAGTATAGGTCAGCGCTGGGGTCCTCCGTCCTCATCCGCCCGCTGGTACAGTGATTTACCTCTCTCTTAAAGTCAGAGAGCTTTTTGTTTTCCAGTCTATGATGCTTCAGTGCAGCAGTGACCTCCCGACATGTTTCAATTTATTTGAAAAACGCTGCTGAGACCTGCAAACATCAGTAGTCTTCGGTGAACTTCCTCTTCATATTGATGAATTTGTGCTGTTTATTATGAGAAATGTGTCTCATGTGGTATTTGATGAACTTGTGAGGACGTATCGGTGAATGTAGAACAAAAAATACAAAATGAGCCTCTTGCTTTTTTATTTCTCTCCCTGTCTCTCTCTCAGGTCCAGGATATTGAGTTGATTTTAGCTTCCTCGGAATTTTTCCAAGCTTTATTCATTTTTTTCCTCTCTCCCCTTTCACAAATCCAATATTAATGACTGTATGTTGACACTGTTATTTTCAAGTGGTCAGCTTGGGTTTATGTGTTCAGGCATCGTTGACCCATGTGCTTCGGTTACTGTGGTAATGCTCGAGGTGTACGTGGCGTACTGTTGCATCGTGGAAGCAGATCAGCGAGCTGCAGGCTGCATGAGGACGGTGCAACCTTTCAATGTTCACACAGGAGAAATTTCTAGTACACAGCTTCTCAGACACAGCTAACAATGTCAGATATGGAGGATGCTGATACACATCAAAGTGAATTTGAGCAAAATGATCCTCTCCTGGTGATCAGGATCGAGCTGTATTTGGATTAAATCCCACATAAAATGCTTCAATCCAACTGAAGCCTCATTAATAGAGCCCGACCGATATGGACTTTTGGGATGGATGGCGATAGGATTATAAAAGTTGAGATACCTATACATTGGTATAGTTGTTATATATGCATTTGCAAAGAAATGTAAATAAGGCTTGATATTTTACAGTTTAATCTTAAACTTTATTATAAATACCTTAACCTAATCTAATTAGAGAAAGAACTTGAGGAGAAAAGAAATCATATTTTTAACATAAATTGTTAAATTGCACATTTTTTATTTTGTATAATTAATGTTTTCATGTTGGCACATCTCATTATATTTGTGAAAGGCTCATAAAGACCAAGGTTATCAGCCAACTAATATATCATCCCTGCTCTTTTTGTTACGCTGTATAGTTGAATATTTGGGTACCGGGTTTCTTCACTTTACGTATAGATGTTGAGACCAATGATTTAACTTTTTTCCCAAGAAGTTACAAGTCTGCTTCCTCCGTGTCCTGCAGTGTTTGTTTAGTAGAAAGTTCATGATTTCCTGGAGGTAAAAGATGGAGAAAGCTGGACATCCTGATCGTCACTGACTTGATGTTGGGTGGTTTACTGGCTGAAATCCAGTCTGACTGTAGTCCTTTAAGCAAGTCGAGGGCAAAGGTTAATCCACCTGATGAGTTGAAGAGCAGCTTTGCAGGCAGAACAGAGACTCTATCATTCTGATAGCTGATTGGAAGAGAACCAGCATGTCCTTTGAGAAGATGATGGTTTAAGATCGACCCCCACACTCTTTGTGTTGAAGCTTAAGGTTGGATTGACAGTCAGACTAAGATTCAGCACTTTAATATAGCATGTAGCACCTCCAGAGTAATTTACACAAAACATTTGATATTCACCATTGTGAGTTTTTGTTAACAGGCATATGAAAGAATGCAAAACCAGTTTTCACCGTCCTTTCAGCTCAGTTCCAGGCTCCACTAACTCCCAAGGGAAATATCTGGCTCTCTGTGAAAGCTCCACTGTGTTCACCAGCTGGTCGCCAAGTATGTGTGTCTGATGTTTGGGACTGGGCAGAAACTGTACAGTTTTTTTTACCCCCTTTTTGAAAACAGATGAAAATGATGCTGATGAGCCTGGTGAGAGCGAATCCAGACCAACACACTGAGCTGAAATATGCAAAAAAGCTGCAGAGTCAGGCGATATTTACTTCGGCCAAGGAGGTGATGTTTTCATCAGCAGGATATCTCAAAAACTACTAAAGCGATTTACATGATACAGCCTGGAGGGGTGGGGCATGACCCACGGAAGAAAGTATTACATTTTGGATCAGATCTGGGTATTTTTATTCCACTTCATCATGTTGAGATAAAGCGAGATAAGACTCTCTGAGAGCTCGTCTTCTAAAGATATGCTTTCAGGCATTTTGTTTTTTTTTACAGTAAGAGTGAAATGAGGAGAGAGAATGGAAATGACCCGCTGAGGTGTGCTAAGGGCCGGGTCAAAATTGAAGCTGTGGCTGTTGCAAGCCTCCATATTGGGGCTGAGCTTAAAGCTGTCATGATCAATATTCTTATTCTTACTTATTGGGATGAATCTAGAAAAACCTCTGATGGGGGCACCCTCTCAGATTTTCCCTCTAATTCTCTGGAGTCATTCCTACATGACACGAAGAATATCGATCGTAACAACTTTTAGCACAGATATGATTTTACACCTTGATGCCGAATATGAAATAGAAGCCATGAGATGAGATTGAACCTAGTAAAGGAAGAACAAAGGAAAGAAAAGGGGATAAAAACAGTTGACTTCAGTTTCAAGGTAAAATGAATGTATAGAAGGACGTTCGGCTGCAGAGAAACCAGCTCTGTGTGGTGCAGACTGTCTTTATCCACACCTCAGGAATGGTTACATTCATTACAGCTTAATAAATTACACTGCTGTGTTTCTGTGGAGCTGACGGGGCAGTTTGCACAGTGGGAGAGAGGAGGACTCGACCGTTGGCGTCTGAATTAGATTCTTGTTTTCTTGTTGCTTCCATCATCATTACCAACAGTTGATGGGGTTTTCTTTCTGTGTGGATGTAAACGCACGAGAGATCATCCTGATCAATCTGTATTCACAAGTAGCTGCGTCTCAAACTGTGTTTTAGCTGGATAGCACTGTAGGCAATTTACAGTACCTGGTCACGTGCCACCTCGTGCCCTTATATCACCACACACACACACACACACACACACACACACACACTCACATATACACTAATGATGAGCAATAGTGTCGCCCCTGGGGTGCTATACCTCTATGTGCCCCCTGTATGAAAAACTGCCACCCCCCCACTTCAGTCCGGAGACTCACGGGAGGAATGAGTGGAAATAATCAGTAAGCTCACCTATTCACTCTTTCCCGGAAGAGGAGCTCATTATTCGATGTCACTCCTTTCCTTCCTTCTTTCTTCCTCTCCTTCCTTTTTTTTCCACCAGCCTCCATCCTCCTGCCTGTTTCCTCCGTCTTCTGCATCTTCTATCAAAGTTATCGATCTCTCTGCAATCTCTCGTTCTTTTGTCTAACATGCCACTTTTTCCTTGATAACAGCATTATTTCCAAGTCATTATGAACACTTGAATTGCACAAACTCTTTGTGTAATTGGCCCCAGTGTGCCTACATTTTGAAGAACATATTCTCAAAAATGCTGAAGACTGCAGGGCTCATGAGTAAAGTCAATTGTAGTTAAATAGCGTCAAATCCGAATAGAAGTTATCTCATGCCAAACTGGACTCATTATAATATTATTTACAAGAGACCCATAAAGCCAAGAGCAGGCACACGGTGACGGTGGCAAGAGAAAACTCGACAGGCTGGGATGACATAACGAGTTGTTGCATAATTAGAATATTTTCATCTTTTCGTGCTTTCAGGAAAGGAATGGGATGTACGGGGCATGCTGGGGTTTCTGAAAGGTCACTGCTGCAATCTGAAGATCCTCCCTTGTTGTTGGTGATGAATACGTTCAAGCTCTGCTGGTAGACCATAAAAATGTCACTGTGGATATTCCATTTTCCTTCCCAGTAGGTAACCAGCTAACAGATGTCAAGACCTTTGAATCGGGTGTAGCGAGGAGCAAATGACCTTAAAATGCTGAGGCGCTTTTTCGTGAGCACCATATTTGCCAAAAAAAGAAAAAGACATGTGGTTGAGTTGCGGTTGTTACTGGGCTACACAAACAAGGTACTACTGGTCCTGTTGATACATTCTGTGTGTGCTACTATATGGTCCTTGACTGAGAACCTTTCAGGTTTGGCCGTCCAGGGGTGGAGTGTTACTGTCAGCACGAGAGCGGAGCTGCCGTCATTCAGCTGCAGTTTCTCATCAATGAGGTAAGTTTAAAAAAAAAAGAAAAGAAGATGACTCCAGTGATATGTGTGCACTCACCAGTGAGTAGTGCTGTGTTACAAAGCTGACTCCAGGGGTGATGGTGTTATCGCATGAAAAAAAAAAAGTTCTTACTCTGCCCTAGTGTTCCACTTTAGTCTGTGGAAAGTCCTGCGGGCTGATTCATGGATGTTCATCCCTGGTAATCGCATTCCACCCGTAAAATGTTCAAAAAAATGGTTCCTACTGTGTGTGCCATTGGAAGTGAGGCTGGATGAATGATCTCACTGGTTGTGTGAAATAGCTCAGCTGCCTTATCTGCTCATCTCTCTCCTCTTGTTCCGTGTTTAACACAGTGAGCTGTCGCTGCCGAAACGGTCATTTGTCCAAATTCCCCTGGATTCAGTAGAGCTGGGTGTAGTGGTTCTTAGTAGTTTGTGAGTACAGAGAACTACTGTCTTCTTAGCATTAAGTTTTTAAGACCGTTGAGTACTGAAAGTTGGCACGGACAGTCCGCTGTCATTGCTGCTTGTATTAAAACATAAAATATTGACGCTTCAGGAGACATGTGGATTTTCAGTGTTTCTTTCCTCTAGTGTGTCATATAGGGAGGTCCTCTCCCTCACAGAAAGGTCTTTAAATACTTTGTCAGTAGTCCAGCTGATGCTTCTGGGGGCATCTGCATAATGCACGCCTGGTGGCTAATCTGACAAGCCCTCTAACAAAGCCCCAGGTAAAGTCTGTATAACTCAAACCAAGAAACCTGTATTTCTGACATTCTCTTGGTAAACATCTTCATATAATCAAATGAATAATGATTATATATTCATCTGGTATATATAAATTATTAACCTTTGTCAAAGGAGGACATAACATTAGGAATACATTAAAACAAGCTGTTGTCACAGTGTAACACATCACAGATATGTGGAAACCAATAACTCATCCAGCCGTTTTTGAACAACTCATAGATTCAGATAAAATAGACATTTCTCTTCCTGTCGCATTGTCAAGTGTTGAGTGACAAGCTGGAAACTTGTATTGAATACAGACAGCATTTTCTGATTTATATGGAAAAGAGCAGAGCAGAGTTTGACTTACTTGTCCTGACTAACTTTATATGTATGAGAAATTCAGCATTTCATGGTCAGCTCCAGTGTGTGTGTGTGTGTGTGTGTGTGTGTGTGTGTGTGTCTGACTGTGACTCAGCAGCTCAAACATACCCTGAGGGAGAGGGAGATGATTTTTAGTGCCTCCTACATGCACACATACACTCATATACATCTAATGAATCATCATCGCGACCTGGGAGGAAGCTGCCTGATTTAAAATCCGAGAATGAAGTCTGACTCATGCACATCAGAAACAAAATGTATGGTCTGTGGATATGCGTGTGGACATCTCTGTCGTTCGTACCTGCATTTATAACAATTATGACGCATGCGTTTTTGGATTTATAATCTTTAATTGTGAATATTAGATGAATGTCTCCTCTTTTATGACAGGGAGCACTGGTTAGTGCTCTGGCCGACGACAGCGTCCACCTGTGGAACCTGAGGCAGAAGAGACCCGCCATCCTTCACTCCCTTAAGTTCAACAGAGAGAGGTACACACACACACACACACACACACACACACACACACACACTAAAGCAAATGGTGCGGAAGCCTGCAGTCGATGTGTCCATCTTGCTGCCACTCTCCCTTTTCTTTCTCTCTCAGTTTGTCCTCTCCCTCCTCAATTAGGCTGTCACACTCGCTCTGGTGCAACATGAACCGTGGCTCTCGGAGCAGGGAGCAGTGTCACAGTTGTGTGTGCGAATGTTAGATTTTCGCCGACTGCCACGCTGTATGCAAGCAGACGGCGTTCCGTTTGGCAAATGTGTCCATGCGCCTGCAGGACTGTGCACAGGGCAAAGGAGGAGATGAATTAGCTGATGCTCTCTCTCTCTCTCTCTCTCTCTCTCTCTCTCTCTCTCTCTCTCTCTCTCTGTCTGTTTCTCTCTATTGCTGCTGGCCTCTAAACTAAACACTCGTTATTTTGGGTCACTCGCTCTGCCTCTGAGGCTTCCCCATCACTGGGCCACAGGTGTGAACCCACCCAAGCACCTGAAGCTTTACACCAGCCGGATACTACACACAAACGCACAAACTATAAACAAGCAATTAGTATCTGCAGCTGCCCACACACACACACTCACAGGAACATAAATACACACGCTTGAGGACGGTGACTGAGTCTGTGCCCATTTTTATTTTCAGGAACCATTTTACAGATGATTTTATACGTTTGAGTTTATTAAGTACTTACACACCATGTATTATTACTAATAATGTTTAAAGGCATATCATAAGGTTTTTTGAAGAAACCACTCGGCTCTCTTGACTTCAGTATGCCGAGATAATTAACCTTCAGAGAGTCCAAACAGGCTCGTGATGAATTTCTCCTCAGCTTTAACACTTTGCTGCCTTGACTAGCGTTAGTATCTCATCAATATCACTAATGTACACTGTGCCTGCAGGGTCATTTTTTACATTTCTTCTCGTTGATGATGTACCATGGATACCACAACGTCCAAGAATTGATGTTTGGCTGACAAACTATCAAAGTTATTTTACAAGCACGTGCATCTACACGTGAGCAGGATATATAATCTTTCTTCTTTTTAATAACATAGCAGTCAACTCTCAAATAATATTTTTCAGTCTGTCCTTGAAGTCCCCAACGCTGAATTAATAACTGCTCCGTCTTGCAGTATTAACATGATGATAATAGAATTTTGCAACAAGTCAGCAAGGTTGCAAAATGTTAATCATCGCATAGTCAAAAGCTGAACCCGAACATGCAAAACAGCCAGGAAACCTTATGGAGCATTCTTTCCAATTTCAAATGAAGCGAAAATGCAAAATCACTTCACTTCCAGGAAGTCGCTGTCCACTGTCTCCTCCAATCACAAATGCAGTGATAACCCATCAGACGCAATCATATCACTGGCCACTGATCTGTCATCGTGAAAAGTGGTTCACGGGTTAAAGCGTCACAGCTGATGATTTGTGACAACGCTGATGTGATGGACAGGTGGCCAGCAGCGACCTTTAGGGCGGGTTGTGTTCTTGCGGAGGTGCTTGACCGCCTCTGACATTTAGAAAGCACTGCCATCCAACGCAACGACCCTGAGACACAGCATCTGAAGAGAAGCCGAGTTAAAGCGAGGGGACGAAAAGATGAGGCGAAGACGCTGCAAAGTCACCAGAGACATTAGGGAGAGGAAAGTAAAGTAATAGCAGCAAGTGGAAGAAACAGAAAATGATGCTTGTGAGGTAAAAAAGAAAAGGTGAGAGGACGGAGGAGGATGAGCAGTTGTAAGTCTACTCTTCATCCTTGGTTAAAAATTGAAAAGGACGAATTCAGCCTTTCACTCCTCATCCATACGTAATAAGTACAGACTGGACGATTAGAGGACAAGATACTAATATTTAAGAAATAATGTTCGGCCTCTTACAACGGTTTTACCTGAGGGCTTTGCTGTCTCACATAGTCCCAGTCTCTGCATAGTCACGTAAGCAGTCAAAGCACAGGAGTGGTGTCGTGCTGTGCTGATCCGAGAAGTGAACGTGAGAAAATTGCAGTTTGAACGTAGACGCACATCGTTGTTGGGGAGTAGAGACGTAACATCACCTGATGATGTTGACGGGCTTTAAACTTTGATGATGTGCATCAAGACCTGGCAACCTTAGGGGCTTATAAACTAGAACGACACTCAGTGGAGCGTAGAGCTCCGCTAAGGCCGAACAATTTTACACATTATTGTCTTGCTCCTGAAGTATAAATATCAGAGCAAAAAGGAAGATGGTCTGATTCCCTAAATTATGTATTTGTCATGAGAAATAGTTGAGGAATGAAAAAAAAAATCCTGGATCTACCAATTAATCCCCTGGATACTTTCCTTTGGCGTCTCGTCCACTAAAACTGAGATTTTTGCAAACGGCTTCCAATTTTTTCCTTTTCATTTCCTTTACATTTATTTAGCACTGGTAGGACTTATTAAACTTTCTTCTTATTTTCTATCTTATCGTAACACTTTGTGCTACACAACTCTGCAGGCCAGCTTCACACTTGATGGGACACTCAGGGTTTTGTTGGGCCCTTTTCTTTTCAGCGTTCTTATCACACAGTTCAGCAAAGTGTCTTGCACTCTGATAAGCTAGTAATACCTCCTCTGACTTAGAAATCTGCAATTATATCTTTTATCCTTGTTTTTCTCGAATGTGCGCCAAGCTCTTGTTGTCCCGATCAAGACTTTTTAATACAGTTGTCAAAAGAAAACCCATGAGGTTGCATTTTCAAGTGGCTATTAGAAGACCATCATTCAGTCGTTGTTGAAGAAGTAGTGGAGATTTTTTGCAGGATTGAAACCGACAGATTTGTAAAACCTCTAAGGGACTTTTTCGTCGAGCACCACCTTTGCTGCTTTGTTTCTCAGCTTGACTTCAACTTGTCAGGGTGAAGAGGACAGGGCAGCCATTTCCTACATCAACACAAGCACAGTCACCCAACCAGAACTGCGGCGACAGCTTCCTAACAGGGTGCAACAGAATATAAAGAAACAACAGCCTGGCACAAGCCAAATGAAGCACTTGTGTTTAAACTGACCCAAATACTTCTAGGTACATTATTAACCACAGAGTTTGTTATCACATAGATTTCGAGCTTTTACATCACGTTTGTGTCTGTGTGTTGGAGCATTAAGACTTGAATCATGGGTAAACAGCTTCCAGTGTTCAAAAATAAAGCTACACTTAAAACATGCTATTCAACACATTAGCGTTGGTTTATTTGATCTGTACATGATAAACAATGCAAATTTGTGAATTTACAGCTGGGAGGGTCAAAGCCACACAGGAGGTTGGAGTCAGAGCCGTCCAAAAACTGGCAAACACATTCAATTCTGAACAGGAAGAAATCCAACAACCAAATAGTCCAAAGAGAAATGGTCCAAACACATGCTGTGTGTGTTCTGGCAACTGGAGGAGAAAGAGACGAGGACTGATTTAACTACGAGGAAGAAAGTAGACACGAGAAAAACTCAAAGGCAGGGAGTAAAATATAAATGGATGTGTATGGTGACTGATAATAAATAAACGCAAAATACCACAAGAAAGTGTAGACAGGACGTGACAGAGGGGTTGATTGTGAGTTATATAGTGCAATGAAAAATAATTCACCTGTCCACTCAACACATGTGTTTTTGTAAGTTCAAGGTCGTGAAAACCAAAAGAGATCCCGCCTTCGTGCGGACTCTTGTCGCAAAAACTGTAAACACGCCCACTTGAATGCAACATTAGATCACAGACTAGTGGTAGTGAGTGGTATTTATTTTCTTATCTTACCGTTAGCAAGACATTGACTGTACTGCATCTTTCTTTAAGCCAGCTAGCATCAGAAAAGATTAGATTAGCAATTTAATTATAAAAGCACTTTCACTGTTGACAAGGACGAAACTAATAAAAAGGTTTAATGTCAGTACAGCCTGAAAATGCTGCCAAACATTCCTCCAGTAGCTTTTACTTTTTCAAACATTTATTACTCTAAATAAAAAGTATTCACCCTTGAAGTCTGCCCATCATGAGGACCCATTCCAAACAGATCCCCACCTTCCCCACCTTCTTTCTCTCCTCCCCCCCCACTGCTGAGAATCATCGTTGATGGGTGAAAGCAGCGTGGCGGAAAGCCCTCCCAGCGTCAGCATCCATTCACATCAGATCACAGGCTGTAGGAGAGAGGAGAGAAGGGAGGAGAGGAGGAGTTGAGACAGACTGGGCATCAGCCAGAGAGCGGTGAGTCAGTCTGTGGGCTGGAGCGTGGGGATGCAGCGAGCGCAAAAAAGAAATCCTGTCGAGTCATTCTGGCGTAGGTTGCTCTCGTCACCTCCCGGCCTCACAGGAATGCACTGCAGATTCAGATGCTTTCGTCAATGCAGGGTGATATGATGGGAGATAATAGGTGGGGGGGGGGGGGGGCTAGGCCACACTTCTTCACACCTACCACTCACACAAATGAGACTTGATCTTTTTAAGGAGGTTTTGTTTATCGGAGCAGTGTGTTCTTGATATATTTGGGTTGAGCTGCTGGAGTCTCTGTCTCTGGAAACGCCTCAGTCGCTTCATGTTGATAATCAAACAACATAAAAGTATTTTTGAAGACGGCACTAAAATCCTAAAGATATCTTCTTAGTACTTTGTCGTTGTTGGTACGGCATCAAGTAAATGACTGAAAATGGTTGATAAAAATGAATTATTCACTAGAGCGGAGTTTACTCTGAGATATTTCACTGAGTAAGGTTACTTCAGGACTGTTGATCTAGTATTATAACCCTCCAGAACTTTTTTTTAATCCCTTTTTCCTCCTACTTGACCTTCTAACTGTACCAGTGCATATATTAAAACACTGTGTGGGTGAACTAACTTTTACATTGCTGTAATTAATGATAAAGGAACATACTTTAATTAATTTTTGGTGCGCCCTGTCTGTGTGTAGCGGAGAGGGAGGGTGCAGTGCTTGAGAGAAACTGTGTGTGTGTGTGTGTGTGTGTGTGTGTGTGTGTGTGTGTGTGTGTGTGTCATCTATGTTGTCTTCGTCTAAATATTTGCTGAAAGGAGTACGTTCTCTTAATAAGTGTAAAATGTCAAATGTTCCGATCATTTGAGATGAGCAGATACGATCATAGAGGATCAAAAGATGCTGCTTTGATTATTAAACAGAAAATGACAGCTGTTTATTTTGAGACGCTGCAGGGAGCTTGGTCTAAATTAAGTTCCTGGGAAGTATTTTCCCCTTTCAAATGACCGAAGCATAGAGCCCCTAAAAGACTGTTTCTGTAAAGATCCTTCAGAAATTGACCCGAATTCTCACTTGGTTACTTCTGGTTAAAAGAAACCAGGATGGCACTGAACAAAATGCAAAACTTGAGACTTTAAAAAGTGCAATTTGAATGACGTCATGGTGGGTTGCCACTTGAGTGGTACTATTACCATGAACACAATTCTTCAATTAATATGATACAATAGCTTAATAATTTTACATTATATTGAAAAGCCTAATGTTATATTATGTCTGTGATGATTGTTTTTGCTGCAGCAATGACACGGGGAACCAAAGCATCCTTTACCACCACATTATTATATAGTCAGACAGTGGCAGTAAGTGGTCAGTGCGTTGCTGAAGGGCAAATTACTAAAAATGTTTTCATTGAGAGAACCTACAACAAGATAAAGGCAGTTTGGATCAAAGTTTTCAAATTGATGATTTTGTAATTACAAGCTGGTTCATTGTGGCAACGATTATCTTTGATGGGAACATCACAGAAAACCCTGTTTTACAAACTGTGATTTTGTAAAGTTTCCCCCCTCCCCAGTTAATTTGCAGTGAACCGTGCTCTCATGCAACTATAGCCTGAAGTGCAGATAGCCTCAGTGTGTTGTGTGCGGCAGGCATCTGTCATTTCCGAGGCAATGTGTTTGGCCCTGAGCCTGCAAGCTGGCAGCTGCCTTTGTGTGTCGTGACCACTTGAAGCTGGAGATTTCACCAGGAGACTCGTGCGTGCACAACAAGTGTGAACGCGGCGATATGCACAGAAGTACACAAACACTTGTATTTGCATGCACACGAACACACACACCCAAGAGACACACACACTCTCACAAACTGCGAGCAAATTTGTATAATTATGCTCCCGACACTGCCTCTCAGTTGGCCCTCAAATACTGGCTCTCTTAGCACTTAATCAGTGAGCTTGCATGTGCACATGTGTGCAGATCACACATGTATGCAACGTACATTTACATTCAACTCATATAACTACACTAATTCATATCAGCAGCTGAGAAGCTGCATGAACGCAAATATACAAACGCACATTACAATAACAATTTGTACACGCTGTGCTTTAATTTTACAAATCACATTCATGAAAACTAGCACATGAGCACACTCCAGCTTCATATACATAGACAAGGCACATCTGTTTGTGCAGATGGAAAAAGGACATTAAATCCAGTCGACAGTCTGCCTACTGGATATAAGGACGCCACAAGTTGTCATGAAAAGTCATGTTGCTCTTAGTCATCTTGCCTGGTTAAGTGAGTCTGTAGTGTGAGTGTGTACTCAGCAATCAACTGCCCATGTTTCAGTGAGTCGGCTCATACTCCTACAACACTGTCTTCAAATCAAACATAGTCAGAAACAGCTAATTAGCACGAGCAAACACATTTTCTCTCCTGGTTGAGATTTTACAAAAAAATCCTGGCAAATTAACAGTGAACAGGATGAAAAGACTTATTGCTCTCAGATGAGATTGAAATGTGCAACTGGTAAAACTCCCACATTTGATCAGGCCAGGTCGTGTTACTCCTGCGTGTTGTGTCTTTTCCTACGTTTGGACTGTGTGGATGAGATTTATGTTAAGTAGCCCAGCAACTCTGCTCAGAAATATGAATATATTCATGTGTTAGAGCGGAGCAGCCGGACAGAGAGGGGAGGTGTGTGTGTGTTTGTGTGTGTGTGTGTGTGTTACTCTCAACACAGCCCTGCAGCAAAAGTGTGGGAGAGACAGAGAGCGGGCGATACAAGCTCTGTGAGCATTATAACACACAGGACTTAAGGTCAATGCAAGGACATGTTTGCTCCAGTTTGTGTTCAAAGTACTGATACATTTTTAACCCTCTCCTCTACAAAATACATCTGAACCACTGAACCAATGTAGAAGAGGAAATATCATTTGTGTACAGTTTTTTCTTCCAGCAGAGGAAAAGTCCCATTTTTATATTTAAAAAAATCACAGACATTTCTGACTTGCCTGTTACATTTAGTTCATTTCATAGGTTTTGGTCAAAGATAATAAGACACATCTTGTGCTTCAAGTCAGATTTTCTTTAAAAAAATGTAGCCTTTAATCATAAAATATTAACCATGCTGGAGGTTCCTGGAGACAACCTTGTAAAAAGAACAGCAACTTGTATGGAAAGTGTCAAGATAAATCGTATTTTTTCTCAGTGTAATATATTTTTTTGACATATCTACTTAGTCCGTCTTTGACAGCGGTTATTACATTCAAATATGAAACTTGTTGTGCTGAGTGATTCCATTTCTGAATGTGAGTTAATCTGCGGGGTAAAAACACTCTAGTGTGTTGTTCCTATGAATAATGGACAGAGAACAAAGTGCTGTGAAAAGAAATGGTTACAGATTTATTTCCCTTTTCCTACTTAGGTGGGTTTTCCCAGCTGATGAAAATTGGGGGGGCCTCGTCTTAAAGGCGCAGGCCGCCGGCGTCCACAGGTGTAGCTCACTCTGCTGCACAGAATAAAATAAGGGTCCCTGGCGGAGCTGGACGACCTTGAAATATTAGCGAGCTGGATTACCAAGGTTGTACATTATTATTCCTTAGACGGATCGGAGGTTGAATGGGAAGATGGATGAAAGAACAAAATGATGAAAAAGGGATGAGAAGATGAATGGATAGCCGCAGTTGAGGAGGGAAGGGTTTATAACCTCTCATTAAGCTTAAGTCTGATGGATAGATGAAAGGAGGAGGTTAGGGGGTTGATGATGAAAACAGGAGAATTATGGGTGTCTCTGGCCTCATGTATCCTGTAGGTCCGCAGACAAGGAGCTGAATGAATGACTCAAATCTCTTTGGTTGCCGCTGCTTTGACCCGGTGGAGTGGTAAATAATCCTCTCAAAGTTTTGCATAATTTATTTCTGTTAATAGGTTGTCGGGTGATTTCTCAACAAGAGTCTGTCTCTCGGTTGTCTGTACCCGTTTGTCCACCCTGTTGCTCACTAACGCTTGTCTCCTCTCTGTCTCTCCACAGAATAACTTACTGCCACCTGCCCTTCCAGAGTAAGTGGCTGTACATCGGCACAGAACGAGGGAACATCCACATCGTCAACGTGGAGTCCTTTACGCTCTCAGGCTATGTTATCATGTGGAACAAAGCCATCGAACTGTAAGTGTCGCCGCTCTCCCACCTTTTCACCTCAAAGTTTCTTTTGCAATTGCTTTTCTCGTCAGCGTGATTTACGAGATTTTTGCCACACGCAGGGGGTCTGTGTGGAAAGTAAATCGCTGATGCACTGATCAATATTTGAACTCTGTATGAATCCAACTCATATTGCCTATACTGCAACACCGATCTCTGGGTCTATTGATTCACCTTGCAGCCCTTAAGTGAGGCGAGGGATGTTTGTGCAATCAGCATTTTGCCTTTCGAAAGGTTATTGTAGTTTAAATGTAATGAGATGAGAAAGAATCATTAGTCAGTCTATCATTTCCAGGCACAGTATCCGACTTCAGGTAGTGAGCTACCTGTCTCCTCGCTGTTTCAATGGATCTGTCAGTTTGACAGGCTCCATTTTGGTTCCCTGCTGTAGCGACTTAAATTATTCACTGGAGCGTTTTGCTTCTTGCCATCCCCACATCCCCCACTCCCTGTGTGTGTGTTTGTGTGTGTGTGTGTGTGGTGTGTGTGTGTGTTCAGAGAGAGGGATAAGAGGAGAAGGGATGGAGAGGAGAGGGGGGGGGAACAGGTGTCTGCCGAGATCAGTGTATGGCACACACAGACGTCTCGTCTCGTCGACAGGGCTGCAGGGAAGGAAAGTCGAGAGTGAGTGGTGGGAGAGAGGGAGGAAGAGAAGGAGGAGGAGGAGGAGGAGAAGGGGAGTATGACAGAGAGGAGTGGGTCGGATGAGACAGGGATTTTTCGCCTTGGGAAAAGGACATGCAGAGAGGGTGTGTAATGGAGGAGAGGAACAGAGTGGTGACAGAAGGATAAATGCAGGTAACAGAGGGCATAGCAGAAGATGGTTTGGGGAAGGAAGGAGACGTGCAGATGAGTGTAGGACGGAGAGAGGTTTTCAATTAAAGAAAAAAAGAGGGCAGAGGAGGAAGGTAAGCAGTGATAATGATGAGATGGAGGATAGATAAGATCAGAAGGTCGATACTGAGGTTCTTCCTGACAAGGACGAGCAATAACTTTCACTCTTTTTGTGTAATTCTAATCTCTTCTTTCTCTCTTTCACCTTTACAGTACGCTTCTCTCCTTTTCAAAGTGCTTTTCCCACAAACACCCACAGGTTATCCCAACAAATCACCTCTATTCCAAAGGTGCTCATTTGATCATGACATAGGAAAAGATAGAAAAAACAAACTTCCACTATTGGGTTATAAAAACATCTGGTGCATGCAAAGCCACTGGGAATAATAAGTAATCAGCAGACGCATCTTGAAATAATGGACTGGAGTTAGATGTACCTCTTTTACACCAAAATTAGCAGGTATACACAGGTTTTTTAAAATGTGGATTAACCCACTAAAAAGGCGATTGACCCCTTTCCCATTGCCAGTAGAGGAGTTTGACTTCTTGTTCGATGTCACAAACGAACCACAAACTGAGAAAATCTCACCTGAGTGACGGTTGCATCCAGTTCTACTTTAACTTGTCTATTTTTTGCTTTGATGACAAATCCCCTTCGGTCACATCGGCCTGGACGTTGCTAAAAAGCAGCCTTATCTGAAACGCTGGAGTTTTCTTCAGAATTTGAAATTGGACATTGTGCCACTTTCACATCAAACTAAAGGTCAGACAGTCTGTAAGTGGAACTTTAAACAGCCTCCATCCTCTAAACATTCACTGTGTTGCTTGTCTGAGATAATAAAAGTCAAAATTTCCATTTATATTTGCAATAATCCAGTGACATGCACTTTCAAAACAACAAAGGATACCAGTTGTATTTTTTATGGCTAATGTTACTTTCATACAAAACACTGACCCGCATATTCACCCTGTGCCTTTCTCAACCTCCCAATATTTTCGGTTTTCTGAAGCTTTTAGACTTGCACTGAACTCTTATTATTTTGCTGAAATTATCTGGAGGGGCTGATTGTGAGAACACAGATCAGTCAGAGGGTCAAAACATTGTCCAAGTGAGGCCATGGCTATTGTCTGGGCAAGTAGATGCTAAACAAAAATAATACAATAAAGAAGACGCCATGGATGGAGGATGGCGTTGAGATTCCAGAGATTTTGGTGATCTATCGAGGAGCCAGTCCTCACCTGATTGTTCCTGACATGTTCCTGTTGTTGTGAATGCGTCTGACCTGGAGAATCTCTCTGCTGCGTATGTGTGAAAGAGAAAGTCTGTACATCTTCATCCGTAGTTCCTGTCTGGAAACGGCTTTACAGATACAGCATCTGCTCCCCTCTTTGCTCTCTCGTCAGTTTCTGCAGGCCACCCGTAACAATAATTGCTCTCTGAAGAAACCCACCCATCATCTGTCCTCGCATTGTGCTCCGCCACCCCTAACAGCTTTGTTAAGCCACCAAACTTTCTTTGACACAACGTTGTTTCCATCCAAACGGTAGCTCTGCACAATTAGTTTGAGGAAATGAGGCTCCCCGTATCTTTTGGTTCAGGCGTAAATCGCTCGCCTGGCTGTTCTGTGCCATATTATTATGTCTCGATGGCGGCGGTGACGGTGCCAGGGATCGATTCCTCGGGTTTGTTGCAGATGCTCTGAGTTTGCATATTTGTGCGAGTGTATGAGAGGGTCTCTGTGGTTTGATGCAGATCAGAGAGGTGTAGGGTTGCTCTCTTGTTCTGCTGTGCCAGCTGTGAACGGTCAGGAGGGTGCAGACCCTACCTCCGTCATTGTTCTCCTCTAACCCCTGCTTGTCATCTTGTCTGCTTGTCAGTGGAAGGTAGCACTTGAGCTGAATTAACCACAATAACAGCTGTACCAATTAGTGGGGCGACACAAAATTCAAGGTTTGTGATTGATTATTTGCTTTATTTTTGTCGATCGCAACTGTGGGTTGAATTTCCTCAAATGAAGGAAACCATTGCAGGGATTCTCATTAGTACTATTGTCAGCTTAATACTGTAAAGTGCGAGTGAAAGCATTATTTGAGAACTTTACCTAAAACCCTGTCAGCTACACCTCTCTTCTGTTGTGATTGTTGTAATGAAGCTAGGATGTGACGAGCTCGGGGGTCATCTTCCCTCGGGCCCTGCTATTTGTAGACGAGCTGCAGAAGCTGTGCCAGTGGCCCCGGGCCTGCCCTGGCAGGGCCAAGTGCTGTGTGTGTGTGTTTGTATGACTCACACTTCTGCTCCCTCTAACTGTACTGAAAAGACTCACACACACATCCTGCAGTAACTACATGGCACTAAAGTTCACTGAGTGCTCTACACATTAAGGGCACTGCAGCAGGGCCACATGTAAATCTGCATGTTTTTACCCCATGTGCAATTTGTCGGTATACATACACACACGTTAATATGTTAGTCGCTGGCAGCATGTGTTTGGCTGCATCTTTGTGTGCGTTTGATTTGATGCAGCTTGATGGTCACTGGGTACACAGAGGCGAGGAGGAAGTGGGACAGGAGTGGTAAAATGTTAACAGCTCTCTGTGACACATAGTTCATGTGAATACATGCGCCCAGAGGCCTCTCCTGTTCTGACCTCTTTCATTTCCTCCCCCTCTCCCACTCCTGGACCCTGAAGCTACCGTAAATACTTTGTTTGCATCAAAGTATGTTCCTGCATAATGTGGTTTAAAGCACGTGTGGGTTCATCAGCTGGTACAGCACACCGGGGAAGAGTCAGAGTATCCTTCAGCTTCCAGTGTCCTTTAGGCCATTCATCACAGTGACTCCAGGGGGTGACTGCAGGTGTAGAACCTGAACAGTGACATTTCCCGTAGGGGAAACAGCTTTCATCCAAATCCTCATGTCCTTCGAGTGTGAAGTTACAAATGACAAGCCTGCTTATTTAAATGATTTTGCTCAGTGCAAGGATCTGTGTTCGTAAAAGATATTATTGTTCGTATGGTCCTTCCTCAGTCTTCACTGCAGTGTTGAATTTTAAATAAGTTCCATCTGTTGCTTGTTCTGACTGTTTTATTCAGTTCAGTACAAACCTAAACCTGCAAAAACTAAAACTGTAGCATGTGTACAAAGTATTGCTTTGCTTTTGTTGACTGGATAGTAAGCGTGAAATGGGGGAAGATGTGTAGCAGCTAGGGTCAGAACCTGTGGCTGCTGCGGGGGGACTTGATCCTCTGAGGCACCGGCTGGCTCACGGTCGAGCCCCAGTTAGAGCAGATCTCACTGGTTTAATCAGTTTGACGATTTGACTTTTTGCAGTTTCATGTATTGAAGATCACAGGTAGAGTCTTCTGATGTCACATGTGTTGTGTTGTGCTGCTAAGAGCTCTTTCAAACCATGTTGCTGCGGTGACACTGTCATGGTGACTGCGCCTCTGCCGCCTGAGAGAGCATCACCTGTGGTGACAACAGATGTTCAAGACTTCACCACCCACGTAGTGTGTAAGTGTGTGTAGTAAAGCGCTTTAATAAGGTATGCTGACAGAATACCTGTTAATTCTCATAAAGAATTCATAGCTTATTATTCGGTTCACGTATTGATGAATATTTGGCTTGCGAGTGTGTGGTGGGATTTTTGAGGGTTAAGACTTTGTTTTAGAGTCAGTATTAGGTTTAGGTTGAAATTGAAAGCTGTATACAGATTACTTCCCCTGGAGTTCAGCACTTAGTTGTGGTTAAAGAGTAAGTGACGAAGGAATGCAATATGTCAATGAGTCAAGTGTGTGTGTGTTTGTGTTTGTGTCCTAGCACCGACAAGATTTTTTAAATTCAATGAGGTGTCGCTCCCCTGATTGCTTAGGCACCATTCCACACACTGAGAAGCAATTGCAGTAAAGCTTCATTACAAAAAATTGGAAGGAGCCAAAGGGGGAAGACTCTTAAGATTTTCAGATTTTCTGAATGTTTTCTATTGGGCATCTAGTTTATCAGTGACAGACGCGCGTATGTGTGTGCGTGCGTGCGTGTGTGAGTGAGATATGCCAGACCTTGAATCAAAAGCTGAAAGATAGGAATGAAACTGCAAATGATGCAATGAGAGTAACAACAGTGCATAAAAAACATGCACTTCTAAACACACGTACCCAAATGTTCATGTCCCTGAAGCCCTGTACACTCTCTATGCAAAATGCAGAGTTAATAGCAGCATACAGCCAGAAATGTTGTTACAGCAGCGTGTTGAAGTAGTTAAGCAGGCAGCTTGTGTGTCTGTGTGTACTTCTGTCTTTGTGAGGACCAGTTCAATTTTAACACAGAGTGAGGACATTTTGGGAAAGTGGGAATTTTTATTTTGGGCTGGTCCTGATAACTTTAAAGGGCTGTTTGACAGTGAAGCATTGATCTCAGGGTTACGGATAGTGTTAGGTTTCAGGTGTTTGGTTGTTAGAGTTAAGGGGTAGGTAGGGAATGCATTACGTTAATTAACGTCCTCACAAAGATAGAAGTACAAATGTGTGTGTGTTTGTGTGGGTGGGTTTGTGTGTTTGTGCCAGAGTATATGGATGATTTTTGGGAGCCTGTGCTCTGCCCGTCCTGCCTCTGTTGCTATGGTGATTCCTTTATCTCCCCTTAACGTGCATTTGTGGACTTTGCGAATATGCTCATGTCAGATTTTATTCACCAAACAACAGGTTTTTGACAAATACAGATTGGTTACGGTGTCTCACGGGGGAACGCTGAGAACACTGCGTCTAAATTCCTGCGAACAAAAGGAGATGAACCACGTGGGACAGGAGAGAGGGGCTTTTATGCGATCACGCTGTGTTTTGCAAAGCAGCAAAAGGGTAGTCGTTATGGGTGTGTGTTTTACAAATGAGCTCGGTGTTAAAGATGTGTCTTAATTGTGCCGTCATGCTAATGTGTCTCTGTATCTCTCTCTGTGTGTGCGTGTGTGTGTGTGCATGCTGCTGTGGCCGGCTGTTAGCTGGGAGACAGGCAGTGAAGGGGGATTAGATAAATCAACAGCTCCAGCTGCAGCAGAGCTTAGGTAATAAGGCTCTAACAGGCTAAATATAGAGACAACTGACTGACTGACTGTCTGCCCACTACCTGCTACGTTCTCACACACACACACACACACACACACACACACACACACACACACACACACACAGCTGTAAAATTGCTGAGGTAAGTTGAGCAATTGTGTTAAAAATGTAATGGATTTCTATTAAATGTATTATTTTTATTGAGACATACACTTTTTTTCATACTTCACTCACAGACTATTTCATGAATAAAAAATTCTGCAAAGGCACAGGCCAGAAAAAGGACTTTTGCCTTCCCTCCTTTTTACATTACTTACATTTGGTTGCAGCGCTCTCCGCTTCCTCTCCTCATCAGACACCCCCCGTCCTTCTTCCCCTCATGTTTCAGGCTCTAACAGTCACTCTTTTTCAAGCTATGACCTTCTCTAGCATTCCTCAGCCTGCATCATATCTTTAAGGCAGGGCAGGTTAGGTAAATTGCGCTGCCACGTGGCACACAGCGAGCAGATTTGACATAAGGCTGTCTGGAGGGTAAAGCGCAGACAGGAAGGGAGAGATGAGGGGGCAGCCGAGCATTTTTGAGCTGTCTTCTTTGCTGACATGCAAATGGACACTCACACACACTTGCATGGACAAGCGCACACGCACACACACACACACACACACACACACACACACACACACACACACACACACACAGCCATTGGGGATTGCCTGGCCTGACGGAGCCATCCATCACAACCTTCAGTGAGCTTATGTCTTTGAACAGTCTTTTAGAGCCTTGGAGTGATTGACAGCTCTGTCCTCCCTTGTGGACCTTCCTCAGGTTCAAAGACACTTGTTTCCTACCTTTATCCTCTCTTTGTCACCATGTGATGTGAGAGAACTATACGTCTGTGGCCTCATTTTGATGTTGATCTGTCTTCGTCTTTGTGTCTCTCAAGGTCCTCCAAGGCTCACCCTGGACCTGTCGTCCATATAAGTGACAACCCAATGGATGAGGGAAAGGTAAACCTTAAATTTCATTTAGTAAATACTTGTCAATCTCCTTCCTGTATCAATCATACACAGCATATGCATGCACAAGATTAAACCGCTTATCCTCACCATGTTTTCAAAAGCATTTAGTCTTATTTGAGATGTGTGGGTGTTGCAGAGTCTGTGATTAAGGATTAAGTCTGTTTTTTAGCATAATGTTACTTTCATCAACGAACGTGAATGAAATGTGTAACGGGAATTTTTAGCAATGCTTGATTTCCCTGTGGAGGTTTCTTGAAGTAATATTTACATTCAGCGTTTCTCATCAAAATGTGTTTCCAGTATTATTCAGGTCGAACAAACTCCTCTCATAAACATTTAGGTTAAAACAAGCAGCTCTATACCTCATTTACATCCACGTTAACTGGCCTGCAGTGTTCCATGCTTCCTTTTTCGGTCAGCAGAAAAAACACGTAAACGAAGCAAACTCTCAAAATCTCCATAGTGTTAATAACTGACAAAAACTCCACTGAAAACCTTTAAGGTCATAATAAAAATGTTTGATTATTTTTTCTGCAACAGATCAAATTCAAACATAAAAGTTTATTTCAATAAAATTGCTTTTAGATTGGCACTAAATAGAGTTTACCAATAGAAATCTGCCTAAGAGTTTTTGTGTAATCCTGCCTACAAACCAAATAATAAACCAACCAAACAACCAAGATCCATGATTTATTCCCGGGGAAATTGGTAAAAAATTGAGCAGTGATAAAAAACCTCCTGCATCTGCACCTTTTTCTGAATCCATGCCAAAATGTATGGATTCTTTCTTGGCCCACGTCCCATCCTTCCACCAAGTTTCATGGAAATCCATTCCATAGTTTTTGAGTAATCCTGCTGAGAAACAAACCAACAAACCAGCAGACAAGCGGAAACAAAACCTCCTTGGCGGAAGTAGTAACTACCCAATGTGGAGTGCTAGGAGGTGGTAATTTCCCAGGCCCAAAATAGTATGTCCAGCTACTTTAGTCACATGTTTCTGATTTTTAAACTACCTGGACAAGATGTTGTCTCTGTAAATAAAGACTTCACGGTCTCAAAAAAATCTCTTAGCATTTTCTATTATTATGTCTCGTGAGCCAAGGTGTCTCCCTGAGCCGGTGTCATCTGCTCGCACCCGACTTCTTTTCATGCTGTGTTTGAATGTCAAATGTATTACCTCTTTCTCTGCCCATCACGGGGTCTATTCTATCTCCTCTCAGTCATCTCTCCCACCTATCGCACTGACTCGCCTGTCGCTCTTCCTCTCCAGCTTATAATTGGATTCGAGTCTGGGATCGTGGCCCTGTGGGATCTGAAATCAAAGAAGGCCGACTATCGCTACACTTACGATGAGGTAGGCAAATCTCCCATATTTCCTTTCTTCTCTAACGGCTTTCAGTCGCTCGCGTCTTCTGATCTACGGAGTATCTTTTAATGCAGAAACTTGGAATTAAATCACATATGCATGAGCTGATCTGTATGCGGTTGCGCATGTAAGAGAGTTTATTCTTGGAACAAAAACGGAGCTTGAGATTTGAGAGTTTACTGCAGATGACAAGACTCAAGTTGGCTTGTTTTTACATACTGTACATACACACACCTCTGCGGGAGCGAGTCTCTTCTCTCACCTGTGTTAAAGCTGATGATAATTCAAACAGAGAGTGCTGACTGGGAAGGAACAGGACTTCCTGTAGGGTGGAGGTTTACAGGGTATCATAGGAAATAGTAGCTCTAATGTGTTTTGGTTTGCTAGAGAAGAGTTTTACAGCTGATTTTAAGCAAACTCACTAGAACTACTCCTGAACCCCAGATATTTTCCTGAAATTATCCAGAGAGGCCGTGTGCAGGAACGCAAATCTCTGAGTCCGTTGCTTTGGTCATTCTCCTGAGTTTGTCCGGCCAGCCCTCTAGTGAAATGTCCGGAAAATGTCTGAGTGAGCCCATGTGAGAATACAGTAGGATGTCGTCCGGAGAATCCATGTTTCTAACATGCAATGGATACAAAACTTAAAAAAACTAAACTATTTCAGGATGAAAAAGAGGTGAGACACTTGAAGAGACAAACAAAAAGACAACACAATTCAAGAGCTTTTATTTATAAGCGCAGACGCTTCCGCTTTGTTGTTCATATGTGAAAACATTTCCGGACCCTAATCATCAGAGCATTTCCCAGAGTTTATATCTTAAAATGGCTTGAATGAGATATTCATATCTGAGAAGAATCGGAAAGGTCATTAAAAATAATTCCTCAACATTAGCTGCTGCTTTCGAAAGTAGGATTCATGAAATTAGTAACCCTGGGAAATCAGTGTATTTTGTTGGCACCTGAATAACTAAAGAAATTATTTTCACACTAATTTCTTTTCTCATGATTTATCCTGTAGAGTTCCACAGGTACACGTCTCTGAGGTGTGGTTGCCGGGAGATTTTTTTTAGCATATTACGGTTGTAAAAAGGGCAGCTCGGTTGTGTTAAAGGTCCACTTTTTAAAGCACTGAGTCATGAGGCTTTATTGGCTTCCCCAGAGGCAACAGTGTGTGCGTCTATAAATAAACGAAAACACAACAATAAAACGCAGACAGTGTCAGAGCTGTTCAGAGTCCCTCTGGACCTGGCATGTGTCAAACCAAGACTGTGTCCTGAGTATAGATTCAATCTGTGTTTCCTGTCACAATACATTACATATATCTCTTACATCCACATTTATCACTGTCGAAGCCAAAGACTGTATATAAAGATGGACGACATGTCTTAACGTCCTCCCACTGTCCAGACACAAAGCTAAAATATCCCAGATACGAACCTTTCCCTGTGCCCCGATGATGTCATTTGGAGCCAAAGCCTGCACAGTAGTGATTGGGGGGGTGGAGCTGTGGTATAGAGGCTTGACCTTTAATTTAATTCAGATTTTAAGATTGTAAGAAATCGAGCACCTTAAAAACTGAGGAGAACTTTATTTAACAGGATTAGTTTATTTTGTTTTAACCATTGAATGTATATAAAGATGGATGACACACCCCCACTCCTGCCACCAGAAATAAATCTAGAATATCCGGCATTCAAACGCTGCCATCGTTTGCATTTTGAGTCAGAATCTGGGCAACAGCATTCGGTGTTTGAGACATCTTGGCTTCAGTTTTGTCCCAGCTGTCATGTCGTCCATCTTTGTATACAGGTTATGGTCCAAGCTGTTTGTTCTTTCACCTGATGGGTTTGCAATCTTACATGCGTCTCATTTCCATATGTATTTGGATTGCTTTACGATTGATAATAGATTTGTGACAGAATCTGTCGCAACCCAAGATTTTTGAGTTTGACCAAGCCAGTCGAATGGCTGTGAGTGCACATGTTCAATCTCACACACGCGCACAGTCATTGTGTGCTTGGTCATGCAGTGGTGTGCGTAGTACTCAGACACAGAGCCCGACCACATGTGTAAGATAATTAGATTATCTCAACGCTTATTCTGGTGCTCACCTCATCGGTAGTGCTGTGGAGCTGTAAGCACGCTGAGATAACAAGAGTCACAGAGGACTACAGAAATTAGAGCACTTTGTACGTTCAGTATGCAACAAACTCTCTTTCTCTGTGTCTTTGCTCTGTTTCTCTCTCTCTCTGATAAGCTAATATCCTCTCGCTGCACCCAGGGCATTACAGTCGCTAGTATTGAATCTCCCGAGGGAGCTCATCTCATCTCTCCAAACCCCTACAGTGACACCTCTCCAGAGACTGGTGCATGAGTGGGTTGGAATTTAGGAGGCGGTCTGGGGGAGTGAGTAGGGGTGGGGTTTGGGAGGCTACTGCTCACTTCACTCAATTATGGTTGACACTGACGAGGCCAAAGAGCCTGCGACACACGGCTGCTCTGTCCTGTGTTTTGGAATGTGTTGGCTAAAACTGTATTTGTCCAATAGTTCTTCAGATGGTTGTCAGATATCTTTAAAGTTTCAATTTGTCCCAGACCAGACTTCATAGGCCCTGAGGACGATTCTTGTGTTCTGCTGTGCTGCATCACGAGTGCCGTTATAATCGCTCCATGACTTTTCTGTAATGGACCATGGTGTAACCAACACGAATTAGATGGAGTACAGAGTGATGGTGTTTTTTTTGGGTCAAGGCTCATTTATGCTGCTTTTACATGCGAAACGAGATCTGTTTGTTGAAATGTCTGTTTTAAACAATGTAACCATCACTGAACGGTAATTGTTTGATTGTTGATAAGCAGTACATCCACTAGAGGGCAGGGTAGAGTCGAGACACTTTGACAAATATAATGTATAACAAGATGAAATCGGGTCTTTTGGAGAGTAGTCTCAGATTTTGGATGTTTATATACAACATGTGACATCAAGTGATATGTGTGTTGAAATTTACTGACTAACTCAGGAGCGGTGACTGAGACGGTGAAGAACTAAATGTGCGTTGCTATAGTAACATGTGTCTATGTTGATGTGATGATATCAATGTTTTGCTTTACTGCAATAAAATGTATGTTTAAAACGTTTAATTATAAGAAATTTGTCATGCATGAATGACTCGGTACAATCAGAATAATTTGCTGTCATTCTCTGACATGAAATTTGTGCACAACTTCATCCTCGTAAAGCCTCTTCAAACAATGCTGCTCGGTGAAATAACTTTCTTACAAACATCCAATCCATCGCAAGCTATATTTTTCCTGCTGCGCGCTCTTTTTTTCCCCGCTGTGCGCTTTCATTCAAACTCCATTTGCCTAGAAGCCCGCTGCAAAGTATCAAAGTTGTTGACTGAAACGAACAAGGGAGCTTTTCCTCTTCTTCCTTTCAGCAGCTTAGTAAGCCAGCAGATATAAATTGAGACTTTTTGAACAAGCATGTCCTAAGCCATATTTTAGTTCTGATGTAAATTTGTAGAAACAAGGCAGTCCGTGATTTCAAAGGATAGACATAAATGATCTCTGTGGGTAACGCTGGTTTGTAAAAATGTTTCCAAAACTTCTCACAGAATATCAGCTAGTATAATTCACACAGGAAGGGAAGTGATAAAATAGTTTTGGCTCAAATGAAGGAAGCTTTTGTTAGTTATAGACACTGTCAACCTGCGGACATGTCAGCAAATCAGTGAATTTAACCTGACAACAACGAGCTCACTCATACAGCACAGGCGATAAAACGTATGATTTCACACGCTTTCATAAAGTTGACAGAACTCATCGTTCGCTGTTTCAGTGGTTTGTCTATTATTAGCTGTGCATGAGACGTATTGGCTTCCAGTGAGTGCTAGCCAGAGAGCATCCATTAGCCCGACCCTGCTCCGCTCTCTCTGTCTGACTCAAAAACCTTGATCAGAGTCCAGACCTGATGACTGGCTGATATTGCACACAGAATGGAGTTCCTTCCCCCTCTAAATGAATGCATGTATTTTAGGCCCATAATAAAAACTCACCAATTTATTCTATTGTCTGCTTTAAACAAACGGCTTCAAATCCCTTGTCTTCTGTAATCCATCTCATCTTCAATGTCAGAAAAGCTGTCTCCATATTTAGCCCAGTATATGATAATCATGAAATGTTTCTGCACACATACAAACATACAAAATACAACATTGTGAAACGTGGATAAAGGCAGATAGTAACACATTAATACAGTGCTAGTACTAGTTCCCACGGATACCAAGTATTAATGACTTAATTCCAAGCAAGTTTTCTCGACTCTACCTGTGAAGGACTTTGTGTTATCGACGTGTTAACACCAGAACGTATAACACACAACCTGATACAGTTTCAGTCAGATTTAAAACAAGTTGTCAACTGATAAGTAGCACATTTTGAATCTAGTTCTACAAGTGTGATTTCGCCCTTATAGGAAAATACAGTATAATGCCAGACAGCTCAGTTGACTTAATTATGATGTATTCATGTGCCATAAATTACCATCTGGTTGCCTAATAAGATTAAAAGCAAATGATACAAACTCATTTGTATTGGACCAGAGTCTGGCTTCATTAGGAAATACTTTCTTTCCCCCTCAGACTTGTTGAGAATACAGACATGCGACTTAACTATTCATAGCTGATGCGTCATTTAGCAGGTCTGGCACAGTAGTGAATAGAATATCTATGTAATGGTCTGTGTTTCCGGGGCTCTGTCCATCAGGAAGAAGATTCTCACACACATCTGGCATTCAAGATTTGTTGAAAACTTTCCTAACATGAAAAATTAAAATGGGTTTACTCTGCTATGTCTGATCTGTAATGGCAGATTATATTTTTAAATGTGTAAGTCACTCTGCCGGTTCAATACTTGTGTGCAGGGTTAAATATAGATACAAGAATAGAATGATTGATTGATTGATTAATTGGATTGCCAACAACTTACTACGTACTTATGGTGCCCAGGGAGATTCATTCTAACACTGCATCATCATTTTTCAACGTAGCACAAGTCTTGATGGGTAAATTGAAGTTCAGCGTTTATATAATAAGCACATCAGAAAAACACAAGTAGAAAACAGTTCATGTTCCAAACCAGAAAGATGTTGCTCTTTGGAAATCACTGTTGACACACTTTGCCCTCAATTTATTTTAAAGATTCTTTTTTGTTTTTCTACTTGAGCTGAGTTACCCCTGCTGTGATAGATCATGTTTGTATGTGTGTGTCTTAAAGGGCAAAGCTGTCTTTGTGCTCCTATGTGACACAATGCTGGCAGAAATTATTATAATTACGGGTAATTATGATATGATATGCATGTTTATGTATTTGTCGGTTCCCTTCACCAATCTCAGTTTGTGTTTATGTATTGTGTTTGCCACACAGTTGTGTGTTTGTGCAATGCTGATGTGTGTGACTCTTAATAAGTGTCTTCATCCCCCAAAGACCAATCTGCGAGAAACTGACCTAATGCAATAAATCATGAAATTAGTCATTTTAATTGGTATTGTTTGATATGATGAGCACCATGTGTTTCAATTAGCTTGCTCATTTTCCCATTAAACACAGCACAGTGTTCCCTCTTGGGACTGTCTCAGTAAACAATGCATTGATAGATTTCTAGAACTCCATCACTGTTTGGGTGAATCAGGGCTATTGCTCATAAAAGTGTGAACAAGTTTGAGCCACTACAATTTTCTTGGAGATCCGCAGATTCACTTACAGTGGACCCAGATCCCTGAGAATACACTACATGTCTGTTTTCAGAATTACAGAATCACTAATTTGTTAAACTATACGTTCAGGACACTTGAGGAAACCACATCCACACCACCTGGCTCTCCGCACTGATGAATCACTTCTGGCAACAAATCATTGACGAACAATCTCCTCTTCTTGGCCACTTGGCTGCGTCCCACAGACCCCATCGCTTTGCCGACAAGGACACACATCCCCCACCAGCTTAAAAAAGGCACCTAAGCCATTACTCATCACACCTCTAATTAGTTCCGAGAAAACAAACATCGCAAAGAGGACATCAGGAAACTCCACAACCAGAGGACGGACGATAGCTTTTTAGAACTTTAGTCATGTTCGATTTGTGTGTCTTTAAGGGAGGGAGAGGGAATGAGTCATTAACTGTGTAATGAGACAACTTGAGTCTGTGTGCCGATGCAGCGTGATGTCACATAACCATAGCTCTGCCTCATCGAGCTAACAGTGACCTGGAGGAAGTCCCACTGAGAAAACTGGGATAATGAGACCTAGACAGCGTGCATCCAAAAACATGCTCCTCAGAAACCCCTCACTGTTTTTGTTTTTCAGTCCTTTGTTGGATGCAAACAATTCCGCAGTGTCGTCTTTGTGAATTTAAGATCTGGCCAAGAACCACAATGTAAAGGATCACATACTTTACCAGCGAGGAACAGATGGGCGTCATTACCCACCAAACCTATAAACGCTTCACTCTGGGACAGATTCGATTAGGTGTGTTGTGGCGGGCGTATCAATGGTGTCACATGTTTAGCTATTTTCTGGAAAATTCTGCACTTTCAGTTGAGCCTGACACACAATTATGACTAATGACACACTGAAGGCAAAATTGATACACACGATAAACGGCAATTAGAGTAAATTGCCTTAACCGTGTGCTCACGACGGCATCGGCTGCGACGCTATCATTCATTCTGAATGAACGATGGGAGACAAGGACGTGGAAAACCTGTCGCTAGTTAACTATTCAACTATAAGTGGAGCTGTTGTCAGAGCTGTGTGATATTCCATAACAGCGGAAGGTGGGAACAACTTGAAGACTGTCAAAACAATCTTATACGGAGAGAGTGCTTCTCAAAATAAGGGTATAACACATTCTAGGCGTCTTTTAAGAGAATGTGTCCCATCATTGTCTCTGAAAGGAAAAGCATTTTTCCTGACAGAGGTCCGGGCCTGTGATGGGATGTAGGGGTTCCTGGTGAAAATTTGTGTGATGAGCCTTTGAAAGTGGGGGTTGCGAGCTTCACACAGATTTTGCCACACATCATCGTATTTACTTCATGTCAAAACGTTCGGCGGGTTTAATAACGAGCTATGAAAAGGGCATCAATAAGCAAGGTTGCCCTTTACTGGCATACTTTGGTCATGATGTGTTTGTGTTTTCAGCGATCGCTTGTCAGTAGATAAATCATGAGCCGAGTTTACAGCAGCAGCAGGACTGTTTCAGGTGGTTGGGAAGATGAGAGGACAGAAGGGACATTGTCTCTCCAGCTCTTGCTCTCGTATTTCCTTATTTATCTTTTTTTTAATCATCCCTGTATCAGTTTCTTCATTTGGTTCCTTATTTTTCTCACCTGTAGCTTTGTCTTGGTTTTGAAAACCTGAGCTCTGTTAACATTAATAGCTTCCCATGCAAACATTAGATGCCTCATTTTATTCAAGTTGAGCGGTTGTCAGCTCATGTACATATTAGACTCAATTTTTTATTTTTACATACATACATATATTGCAAAATTTACCATAATGTGGTAAACCTTTGCTTTTGCATCTCTGGATAAAATTATCAATCCATTCTACTCCCAGTAAATGGGTCATATAAAGGTTTCTTCTAATTTATGCATTAATGCCCCAGGAAGTGCAGTGATGTCAGTGGCCAGGGTCCTTTTTCTCACTTTCACCATCTGTTCGAGTCTATAAAATCCAGAATCACAGGAGTTTAACCCACATATGAACACCATGTGCTGTATGGCTGCGGCGATTCAACAGACCTGTAGTGTAAGGGAGAAGGTGGCACACGATGGTTCATCCCGCTGAACCACTGACCCACTCCCTTCTTCCTGCTTCCTTCCTGTCATTTCCTAGGCGATCCACTCAGTTGCCTGGCATCACGAGGGCAAGCAGTTCATTTGCAGTCACTCAGATGGAACTCTGACCATATGGAACGTCAGGGGCCAGGGCAAACCCATACAGACAATCACCCCACACGGTAAGAAGCTGGTCGCACACACATAAACACTCACTCGTACACAAACACAGGGGTGTGTCATCAAACTACAACCTCATTCACTCATGTGTTGCTTCCTGTACAACAGATGCTGTGCAGCGTTTACATAAAGTGTTGCATGGTGGGAAATCTGGGAAGAAAGAGCTTTCATTTTACATCCTGATTTCAGTAACTAGGGGACGGTGGTCCAGTGGTCACAGCAAGCGGGTTCGAACCCCTCCAGGTGACTTAATATTGGAGCTCCACTGATATGGATTTGGGGGCCAATGCTAATACTAATATTTTGTAATTAAAAAAAAATTCTGAATATATCTGTAAAATGTGAACATGGACGCCGATATTTTCTGCATTGTTTATTCTGTAAAATGAAAGTTTTCATATTAACACATATTGGCAAACATAAACGGGGATACCAGTATTGGTCGGGCTCTACTGGAAACCACTTGTCCATATCAGACTGTTCTTAACTTTACAAATACCTGAGAGACTTAAAGACGTTTGATGCATCTTTTCCTTTGTCATGAAATCCAAACTGATTCCGCCTTGTCTGATAACTTGGGCGACTAATACAGCTATTACAGTCAGGTTTCAGAGATTCGTCACACCAGTGCTTTCAGCGACCTCTGCGAGTCACATGACCCGCTCTATATTCAGCATAGCCATCCCTCAAAAGTCTCGCCACACACGGCTCCCTCATCGTTTCCTCATTTCAGTCAGAGGATTATTGTCAGTTCAATTATGTCCTGCCTCTGTTTGCTCTGCTCTGGGTCTGCGCGAGTGCACACACACACACACACACACACACACACACACACACACAC